AAAAAAAAAAAAAAAACCCAATATACGATGAAACGTTTTTAGAACAATTTCATGAAATCCAGACATAAATTTTTATATATTATTTATCCAGTTCGGTAGAAAGATTATAAAAAGTCGCCCCGAGTGCACATATAGCATTTTGACCGAAGCTGTACGCCGTGGGGAGCATCAAAAAAGAACGCGAAGGAGCTGATAAAAATAGTTTCTTGTTTGGTTTGAAAGGGACACTGAAAAAGTCCACTGTTTATCAACTCTCAAACTCTTCCTCAAGAAAACAATAAAGGGTTATTTTACGTTTCCGTGCTTGATGACATTAGTGGGACTCATATCATGACACTCCAATTATAAGAAAACAATAACATTGTCAAAGTAGCAATTCTCAAAGATAAGTTGCATATATATTCAATGTATTTTGAGATAGGTCGAATGTTAGTTTTCTATCATGAATAATATTACATAAAAAGCCACGCAGTCTACATATGATGATTCTGACTTTCAAGTTATTGTGGACGGTCTATTCATAGTGCTGAGTTGGTGTTAACTAAAGTGTTGTTTTTATCCTTATGCATGCGGATTATTACATACCATACTTTATTTCATAATTAACGTAATCTAATAGATAGCATATTACTGTGATTGTCTTTTTGTTTTCTCATCAGTAGGGCCTACGCTTCTCTCTAAACCATGTCTAAGAAGTATAACAGTAGTCTAGCTGCAACTATTCACATGACTAAGAATATAACAGTAGTATAACTGTAATTATCTAGAAGAACTATAACAGTAGTATAACTGTAATTATCTAGAAGAACTATAACAGTAGTATAACTGTAATTATCTACATGTCTAAGAAGTATAACAATAGTCTAGCTGTAATTATCTACATGTCTAAGAAGTATAACAGTAGTCTAGCTGTAATTATCTACATGTCTGAGAGGTATAATGGTAGTGTAGCTGTAACTTTCTACAGGTCTAAGAAGTATAACAGTAAAGCTGGAAGTATCCACGTGCCCGAGAGCTATAATATTAGCCTAGCTGTAACTATCCACATGTCTAAGAAGTATAACAGTAGCTGTAAATATCCACATGTCTAAGAAGTATAACAGTAGCTGTAACTATCCACATGTCTAAGAAATATAGCAGTCTATAACAGTTTAGCCGGTTCTATATTTGTCTGTGTATTACCTTAGACTTTCCCAGTATATAGCCGTCTGTGCTCACGGCGTCCAGGATGGTCTTGCAGTGGCGAGGGCGTGGCTCCACGGGGGTCTTGCCCTCGAAAGCTATGGCCTTATACCTGAGAGGGAGAATGAAGATTGGATAGGGTTATTTTTAAATAAATAGAAAACTTTATAAGACAGTCTTTATAAATTCGTATCAGTCTGACACCTCTGTCAGTGACAAATTTGTTAGCAAATGCATATGTTGTTTTCAAAATATCAAAACAATGTTACCTGGTTTCACGTTTAAGAAAAATAAATAAACAAAATAAATACATTAATATCAATTCGTCAATGTGTATCGTATCACGTTCTGTTTGCAAATCAATGAGCTGGCAGTCTATTATTTATTTTTCAATCGTATTGTATATAATTCTTTATTAGTAAAATTTGATAAAACTAGTTTTCGCATCCTATGTGGTTAGTATTTTTTAAAGAAATCTCAGTTAAAGCACTCAAACAAAACTTACTTTTCCAGGAAATCTGCGAAGATTATTCGCACTGGGTAGCCGTTCTTCCTAATCCTGGCAATCTCAACCAGGCCATTATAGCGCAGTTGATTGATCACCATGTCGCTCTGAAACTTGTCTGGTTGGCGCTGGTTGTTGGATTTGATACATCTGAAGGAGAAATTAAATTTTTATTGAGTTTTTTTTTGTAAGTGTTATTTATACTTCAGGACTCATTAAGATTCTGTCATTAAATTCACCGACACAAAAATTGACAAAGTAAAGAAAAACACCTATGGCTTTTGATTTTGTGTTGATGTTACATTAACATTTTCCAGTATCGATGAGGTCATGTTTTCCTGTAATCTTAATGTTTTTATCCTGCCTTATTTACCATGTCATCATAGAAAGGCTTTGCTATTTTATATGCTAACAGAACCCTACAAATAGGTAAACGAAAAGAAAATTGTGTACCTTACGAACCACGGGTTGGCAGCGGAAACTTTCTTCATCAGCTCTCCAAGTGACATCTAAAAGATGTAAAAATAAAATTACAGAATAGGATGTCAAAATATGTCAAGGTCAAATCATGAATATATTAACCATTCCAAGACATACTGTGTAGAAACTTCAACGCAATCATTTTTTAACGTTTATTTTCCCTTTTGTACGCTAAACGCACTGTACGCACACTTTTTGTATGTACAGTATATGACTGACGAGTCAAGTCTTTATTCACAGCGATATTTCTAGGAAACTGATACTTGTATATTTAACATACAGTGGATAAAATCTGACCTATACAGAAAGCTATCAAAAGGAGAATTACTCAACAAATATTTTGGGGAAATGGTTTGAATTTGTAGATTTCTTTACACAACAGTTTGTTATCATCAAACGCTTTCTCGAAAGCTCTGCTAAAATCTCTGTCATTGTTATTCATTTAGTTCAACAGATAAGTAGTTTGGATTACCTTAAACTGCGCGGCCACCGTCTGCGTCTTTCGTAGAGTGTCGTACTTGGGATTTCCCTTCTCCACGATAGATCTGAACGACTGGTAGTGCGTGATTTCCTGGGCAGTTTTCTTGGAAAGGTTCTCAGAGCGACGTTTCTGGGACAGTATGGGGCTGTTTGGGGAACGCACCAGGTGCTTTGTGCTCAAAGACCTGAGGTACAGAACGAACGACAGGTGAAAAAGATTTTCAAATTTTTGCTTCAAGTTTGAAATTTTATCTGAATTCTTTAATTTTAAATGTAATATTTCTCCTTATGTTCATTGAGCGTGGTGATCTTATCTTATTGTTAGAATTCCTGTGTGGCACAGGTAATTCTTCAATGTGTTCAAATTGTCATTACAATAACTTAAAGCCAAAAAATTAAACTTCCAATCACAAAACTATTTCTTTCATATGCTCTTTTTTTTTTGTGAAATGTCATTTGTTCGACCAAAACATACCATGTGTGAGTTAATCATCTTCAATGGCTTTTGCTGATTTAAAAGACATACCGTGAAACGCCATCTGGCGAGTTGAGGTCCACGCTAAAGAGCTCTCTGATCAGTTCGATCTCGCTGTCTTGAAGGCATTTCACCAACACGGCACCAAGTCGGTCTCGGTTTTTCTCCATAAATTGTTTCGCATTGTATATCACCTAAAATGACCCAGTTAACATTTTTAAACCTAGACTTTTGTTGACGAAACACATTTATCTTTTTAACAAAAAGTATAGAATTAACAATTTTAAGCCCCTTTTAAACACTATATTTGCGAAACAAGACACTAAAGCTATCAAATTAAAAACAGGAACTTTCCAAAATGCACATCTATTCAATGTTTTATTAAATTTGACGCCAAAATGGCAGACGACTTACATCTGCGGCGTAATGCGTGATGGCGAAGGCGGTGTCACTGCCCGGAGCGCTGACGTAGGCCTTGTTGTCCTTCAGGTTACTGTTCAGCTTCTGGACCAGGCTCAGGTCGGTGGACTGCGGGAACTTTGTCTCCTCGTCCAGCAAGTCGAAAAAGCCGCGGTATTTCTTAAAGGAGAAAAGTGAATGATATTAACTTTTATGTGAGGTACATGACAAAATGGATTGAAAAAAAATTTTTTTCAGCCTTGTTTGTGCTTCTTTTCTTTCATAAACATGCAAACATTAAGTTGGCTCCACACACTTTGAGGCGAAATAAGTGAGTGAAGGATAACCACAAAACTGGACATATCATAACTACTGCCATTACGTGCTTGCATTATCAACGAGTCAAAAATTTCTACGACTTCACCCTACAAGTAAGTGTCAAAGAAAGTCGTTAAATCTGAGAGTACAAGTATAGAAACAGTACAGAGAGGCGAGTGACGGCACGGTCAGTGGAGAAACTCACCAGTACGAATTAACGTGTGGATAATGGGTGCAAGCAATATGTTATATTATGTTAGGATAATATGACGCTCTTGATGGCGCGGGGCACGCACGCGCTCAGTTTTCTTCAGTGTATCAAAGGAAAAGACAGTCTTCGTTACTACGTTAGTTCTTCCTCGAACGAGAATATTGCATTTCACATGGAAGCAACATATGAAGAATAAATCATTGTCGAAAGTGAATTGAGTCATGGCCAGTCTTTGATACTCTTAAAGGGCATAATGTGTCACTAATTCCTGCTCATTGTTTTATATTTAGCACATCTAAAACAATCAACGTGCTCAGTAATCAGGAAACACTTTACTTTATACATACATATATCTTTAAAATATCCCATCCTAGCCTTTTACGAAGAGTTTTATTTACCTATATTAATATTTCTAGTATAGCCTGGAAGTATGCAAGTAAATATTCATTCGTTCTTTTTTGTTCGGACTTTGTAATAAAGCTACCTTTTCTGTTCATGCGCAGTGATGTTTCAGTCACTGGCGAGTAAATTACATGGCAAATGACTTAATGACTGACAAGCTTCGTTCATCTTTTACTCTTTTTTAAGCACTCAGCCCTAAATATCCAATCACGTTACAGTCAAAACCTTTAACATACAGAATGAAACCACAGCGTCTAAAATGATTACAAAAACACGTATATTTTATAACTATGACTATCAAATTAGCTTCTTCAGCAAATATTTCAAGAAACTCTGTACAATAGTAAATCTGTTGGTTACGGTGTTATTATGGGGGTGCTATTGTAACAACTAAGACATTTATCATAAATCTTCTAGCTGGTTATGACGGAGATTCTTCGATGAACTTTTCTCAAGAGTGTAAGAGGGCGCCATGCATTAGCAGAGAAGACAGTGGATATTTTAACCCGTTCACTTTATTCAACACACTTAATTCTTTACAGTTGTAAGCAGGGTAGTATAGGTAGAGCACATCTGTTTCCATTATCGCATACAAGACCAGATTTATGGACGCTCGCCGCGTTATGGTGTCAAACTCAACATGAACGCCTTTTATATGTATACTTTGATATTTTGTGGCTTGTTTTAAGTCCGTCAACACCTGACATTCAGGTGACAAACAGCGCAAAGCCCTGTTTTTGCCCCGAGATGGCATGACTTGATAAAAAAGACCCAACCGCAACCGTCTGAGATGAGAAAGTAATGGCATTTTATATGTCTTAAAGTTTACATCGTGTGGGTGCTGTGACTGGTTAGACATCTTTTTGATAGCTTTGCTAAAAATGCACATTGATGACGATTTCGTGAAATGAAAAGTTCCTTTCTTTATAAATTTTGAGCGCACTTTTCCTGGAAAATCTAGCATTTGTCTTTGTCCAGCATTTGTCCAGTTCGGTCAGGAATTCCAGTTAAAACCTATATTTGAAGTGTGCAAAATACTGCCTAATCACAGGACTACGGAAGAGATGCTGCGGCTGTGTTATTCTTTATTTTATTCACGTTTCCATTAGACAGATTTCTATTTAGTTCCGGATTTTTCTGTAGGGTACACACATATTCATATAATACGGCCTTAAAATGCAATAATTTAAACATTTAAATGTTCAGTCAAATCGTGATGGTTGAGGACATGGTTTATTTGTCTGTGCGTCAAATAAATTTATTACTTTTCAATGGCTCTCATGTATGAGTATTCTGTCCCGTCGGCCCTTTTGAAATCAGGTCCTATTCTCTTGTTATGAACATTAATGAAAACACATGCATAATTAAAGCAGTATAATGTTGTAAACCGTTTACGATACTGTTACATCACAAGCGCCCCCTCTGTGTTTCATTTTATGTGTATATATTTATTTGCAACATTCGCCATACCCCCCCCCCTCCGCGTCCCTGTTGCCGTGGCTGTGTTGCAAGAGTGCACAAGTATGTATATTTCATTGCTACCTTAACATACGTGTTGTGGTCTCGGATGACTTATGTTGACCATAAAGCAAAGTGTTTCCGTTTGATATCAAATAAACATATAGGGACGTCGCCATGATACTAGTCACAGAGCCTTAACACTTCAATCGAGTCCCAGCACGCGTCATAAGCTGACTGAAGAGAAAAAAGTTACACCGTGTCATGACCCATATTATTTCCGACTAGATAAACACCAAAGTTGTGAGAGACGAGAAAACGTATTTTAAGATTGCATTTTAAAGAAAAAAAACACAGTTTCAGCTCAAACTGCCATAAATACCCTAAATGCCAAAGGCTAAAGACTTTCACACATTCATACGAATAGAGTAATAGTCTAATTACAATTATTAGTAAGACGCCATCACCGTCGAAGTACATGTCTTACTATTACAATGCCTATTGTGATGTTGTTGTGAAGCCGATGCCATATATCCTGTCCAATGTCAGTTTAGTCATTTAGATACAATATCCCGTCTGTGGAAGCTTATTAGTAAGCATGACGCAACTTCAAACAGATTTACTGGCTGCGCCTAGCCTGTGGAACGACACTATTAACATTGGTTTATTTGTTGAAAAAAATACAGATGGAAAAGTAGTGTGTTACGGTACACTTCGCCAGACAGACCTGTTTGAGCCAAGTTTCCATTATATGTGGTTTATTAAGTTGGAATATACCAAAATAACATATAATCGCGTGACAAATCGGTATGATGTTTGTAAGCCAATTCTTGCATTATATATCAAAAACCGTCATTGGCGATTATAAAATAGTGTGTGTTACTTTTCACTTAGAAGATCAGAATTTTAAATGAGTATTTCTGAAAGAAAACACGCAAAAAAGAAAAGAGTTAGTAAAATCAGCTAAAAACCTGGATCTACATGTACATTGACATTTGATATATGCAAAACGTAAACTCGAAGACCTATAATAATATCTACGTCATGTGTTTTGAGTACGTCATGTATGACGTCACACTTACCTCCATAAAGAGGTTAAGTACATTCTCGTTGTTCTTAAATTCGATAGTAGTCCAGTCTACGCCGTCGTCTTCGTAGTCTTTCTGTTCTTGGACAAAGATGTAGTTGTTGAAGTGGAACTGTAGCTGCTCGTTCGCCACGTTGATGCAGAGTTGTTCGAAACTGTTGGTTTTAAAGTTTTCAAAACCAGATATATCTAGTATACCCATGGTGGGGCCTTTGTCGTTTCTGAAAAAGAAAAATGAAATTGACAGACATTTAAAAAATGAGTCTTGGTGACAGATGCTCTTAATTGCGACAAACCAATAGGAGTAAAATGTGGCAAGGTAAACGTATGCGGAAAGGCAAAAAGTGTGAAACAGACTTATTTTGAATGTGTTTTTGTAACTTTTCTTTTAGAGTTCGTTGCAATATTTGCATAATCAATCCATTCACAAATCTGAATTCGACTGTGTGTTTCTCATTTGAATAAGAATCTTTACAAACAACCAATTACTTCTGAAGTCTATAATTGCCTCACCTTTGTTCTTTGGCAGGCTGTAATTGATGGTTGATCTGTGCGACAATCCACCCGAACAGACGCTCGTACAGCGCCTTGGCCAAAGCGTCTCGTCCGTCATTGGCCTGATGTTTGTTCTTCAAACTTACGACATCCTCTCCTGTATGGACAAAACAGCAAGTGATAAACACCAGTTTTGTATGATTATAATTAATATGAAAGGAAAATCTACTGCCACCCCAAATTTGTAGTCTTCTATGCTATTAGTGATGCACTTGGAGATATAGACCTTGTGTTATTATATTTTTTTTATTCTATCTAAGGCATTTAATCAAGCAATCGTAAAATATATTTGAAAAGATAACTTCCTTTTTTTAAACCTAAGTAAAGTTTTGGCAAAATTAACATTATGTCTTAACGTGATAGTAATGTTCTCAATTTTACGAGTCTTTCAATAATGTACTTTTTGACTTTAGCCCGAGCAAATAAAGAACTTGGAGGGCACGCGTTCAAAACGGTTCAATCACACGACCAGAATACCTGATATGCGGGAAATGTTGGAAATCAAAGCTTTCGTCAGTTCTCTCTCGTTCACACCCAAAAGATCAGCGGCTGAAATATAGTATAATACAGAATGTTATCAATGCGATTAAGTAGAATGGCAGTTCATTGATGACATGTATTTTCTACGTGTGGGTCGGCAGTAGGTCTGTGTGCAGTTATTTCTAATAATTTCAAACTTAATTTTCTGATGATACAGTCTAAATCTATTCAGGTATTATAAAGCAGTGCGCCTAAATCGCAAATTGTGGCGTTTGCCAGCTAGAAAACTTATTAAAACCAGAATTATAATGAATAAAAGATACATTTTAGCATAAAAAATGATTTACATGTGAAGATAAGTATGGATTTTTACCTATGTCCAGAGGAGCCTCATCTTCAATGTAAACGCCGTCCGTGTCCTCATCATCCACGAACTCAATATTGGAGATGTGCAACACTGTGGACAGCAAGGTGAAGATTGTCGCGATGTCCTGAACAGAAAACCATACATGTTACTTGAAGTGCCACGTTTAGCTTCCATATTTTGTGAAGAGAATTGAATGGAAAGCTACTGACCCTCTGAAATGCACGGCTGGCGGTAGTGTGCGATGCAATTGAGAATAGACAATAGATAAACGGATTGATTGAAGACTGTGTTAGGACAGGAAGGACACATCTAGAGCTGCATGCTTTTCCAAATTATTTTCAATTTTAATAAATATTTCGTCATATTACTGTTAAAATATTTAAGTTGGCAACTCGTGCTTGATTTCATGTTTTTTTTTTTGATATCTTATTTTGCAAGAAAACGAACTTTTTTCGTCAGGAAGTCCTCTTTTACCACACTTACTGTTTCATAATTTAAATCATTCCAACATTACTGTACATTAGTGTGATTATTCCTACATATCATTACATAAATGTAACCAGATGATAAGTTATCACATATTTCCCGCCTGTGGTTATCACGTCTTTCATGTATGCGTGGCACCAAAATGCTTGTGAAGTGTATATGATATTAGAATAATGAGCTTCTAAAGCATAATCGGAGATTGTTACTCTCGTTAACAATGTACAGCATCATAGCTAATGACCCACTGTTTGAACAACCTACCTCCGCGATAAAACCAACTAACTTCATGATGTCATTGAGATGAACGAACATATCTTTGCACACGGACATGTGTTGTTGGCTCTCGAATATCGGTGTACCGTCCGTGTTTCGAAGGATTCTGAAACAGAAAGTAAACGATGTTGGCACTAAGTTTGAAATAAATGCAATGGACTGAAAATACTACACTGGCAAAAGTCAATGAAGGGGTTTGAGAGAGAGAGAGAGAGAGAAAGAGAGAAAGAGAGACAGAGAGAGATCATATTACCTGTATTTTTCTGGTTTCTCTAAGGAGTAGTACTCCAACATATCTTTTGGCATTCCAGCAAATAAGTAGTAGAATATATGAAAATTTCTGTCTTGTGGACTCTTCTGCACTATTCTGGACTTCTCCAGCAGGAAGTCACTGATGCGTGCTGCAATTCACAGAAAAAAGTTTTAATATCCGTAACTTTATATATTATTTCATTATTACATGCCTTATCTTCGAGCAAAATTATAAAGTTAAAAATATCCTTAAATAATAAAATCCTTTGCAGTGATTATGCTTCCTTCTTATCTTATCATGATATTTACCTCCAGTGAGTTTCCCATATTTCGTAAAGTACATGTCAACAAATTTTCCAAATCGACTGGAATTATTGTTCATTGCAGTGCGGGCATTACCGAAAGCTTCAAGAAGTGGGTTTACCTGAAATGTTCATGTAGCGTTAGACAGTACTTAATGAAAACAGCGCCATTTAAAATTTAATTTAAAATTTAAAAAGGCGTTCTCTTCACTTTTTTTTACAGTTTCCAAAACAAAAACACCCACTTGTTTACCAGAACATTAGGTAAAACAAAATTAAAAACATTTTGCTATTTCAAATCAGCCAAGACATTTACTCAGCAAAACGATAAGAAGTACAATAATAATTTTTGAAATGGTTGAGTTACTTTAATAAACTAAAATATAATTATTTAACCCACCTCGACAATCTTTTTATGCAAATTTGAAATATTTTTATCCGAGTTGCCAGAACACAGGTAAGCCACGTGCTGGATCACAAATTTGGAGTTCTCAGTTTTCCCGCTCCCTGACTCTCCGCTCACAAGGATCACCTGGTTCTTGTTGTCTTTGCGCATGCGCTGATATGTCGAGTCTGCCGTCCAGAAAATGTGTGGTTTGAGATCGGCACGACTGTCGGCATTAGTGTAAAGCTCATGATCCTGGAGAGAAAAAACGATTTAGTACCTATTGTCTTACTATATGTTCGGTGTAACCGTGCATTTTATGTAACAGTGTGTTAGGTGTGGTACTATTAGTGTAACAGTGTGTTAGGTGTGGTACTATTAGTGTAACAGTGTGTTAGGTGTGGTACTATTAGTGTATAACTGTGTTAGGTGTGGTATTATTAGTGTGTCAGTGTGTTAGGTGTGACACTTTAAGTGCTTGGACATTTTAGGACAAAATGATAACGTATAAAGAACCCAGACTATTGCGTGTCTCATATACATAATAAGTTTAAATGTCATTCAGGTATCTCTTCATTCAGGTGTATAAAACATCGACATTAACATAAAAATAATCTAATTCAGTCTGTTAAACAGCAATTCTTTTTTACCATTCTAAAGACTTTAGCTCTATGACGATCGAAATATCATCCAAGTAATAGAAATTTCAACTACAGATTTAAATATTAAAAGTTTAAGTAGCAGAAGGTCATAGGCTGATATCCTACCTGCTCTTTATATATGTGCAGCGTCTTAAATGGGTTGACAACCACCAAGACATCTCCAATGTACGTCTGAAAGTAAATTAAAGAGAAATAGATTTCGTGAACAAAGCGTAAACTCAAAGAGTAGGTAATCGTAATTACTTAAGGCCGGTGATAGGGTTAACTACGCTTAAAATCATGTTTTTGAGTTTTTTGTGTGTTTATATTAATCAAAAAAGTATCTAACGTTGGATGTAATAATTTTTATGAATTTGCATTGCAAAATGTGTCTTTTGATGAGTTTTTCAAGTCAGGCTGACAACTAAGCCACGCCTCTGTTACTAAGGGCCGTTGCCATGAGGGGGTCGGAGCACAGTTAATGAGTTATAAGCCGATTACGTGTGCGGTAATAGGTCATAAGTCTTACATCAGCTTAGCAGTGAAGAAGTCTAGCTAGTACACTATGGGGAAGAGAAAAGTTCGTGTTTAAAGTCCATTTCCAGAGGAAAGAAAGAAAATTTTGAAAGAGAGTAGGGCCTATGCGTGGCGGTTGGGGAAACCCGGCCCTATTTGTTCAGTCGGATGACTGATTTCTGTATACCTAATGAATGGGTGAAAGAGTTAATCGAATCGTTTAAATTAATTGACAAATGAAAGAAAAATCGATAAATAAATAAATTNGCCTTAAGGCGTGCGGACATATTTTTAAATTGTAACTTTAATTCAGGATTAACATTCCCTTGTGCAAAAATGGTTTTACATGTAGATACCTGCTATGTATTAAACATGAATCGATTGTTTTATAAACAAAATATTTATTTATTTATTTAATTAACTTTTGAATTAATTAAATATTTTCATGATATCGATCACTTTCATTCATTGCTATCTACACAGAAAAAAATTATGAATATCCCATAGTTTCTACCTCGGAAAATTTCCTCAACAAATATCAAAGTTAGTTAACATATTCCACACAGGTGTCGTGAGCACATTAAGCCGCTGATTAACATGGGTGATACACGACTTGGAGGGCGAAAGGGGGAGGATTGTTGTCGCTTAGGTCCTTAATCTCATTTATAATCAAGATGTTAGTAGATTAATCCGCCTCAAAGGCACTCTTTTCTCTTGTCAACGAGAAACTTCATGTAAATTGCAGTATTTACTGACACAGCCGTGAAATCTAGGGAGGCATAAATTGGTAGATTTTATATCTCTGGATTGAATAGATTAAGACAAGAAGACGGTAAAAAAACTATGTTTGTTGGGGAAAGGGGATGAGTGGTAGGACTAAGTAATTCTTTGATATCTTGGAAATTATTTTGGTCGAATCCTCATGCGGCCAAGAGGATGGGGTTCGAGTATAAATATAGCAAATTATACAAACTAGTAGAGCATATAAGGCTACTAAATTGATGCAGTTTTAAGAATTAAGTCCTGCCTTTTCATTTTAGTTAAGTGTGCGAATAGAACAGCCTCTTTTATAGGTACCGAAGTGGACCTCTTTTGAGTTTCCCACCCTATCCAGCCAAAGAACAACGTTTTTCTGATTCTTATTTTGGGATGTAAAATCAAAAGTGTTGGTCAAAACAGGCAAAGACGTAGTTTTTTAAGATAAGGAAACCCCGATCGAATGAACTTGATAGACTGGATATAATTCACAGTATGCACCTATTCAATTCAGTATACATTTTCTAGACAAAACTCAATTATACAACAGCTGATACATATTAATAAAACTATATCAGCGGATCTAATATTGTGTCACACATTGTAATGTCATTAACATCAAGATGGAATACAAATGTCATACTACTCATCCATCCTGAATTTTAATTTTCAATTAACATTAATTAATATAGGAGGCTGTGTTCTACATTGTAGATAATGCATTGTGACGCACCAAGGAGATATGTCAGGTAAAATGACATCTACCTGTCACCCCATGTACTGGGTACAGGTGACAGTCAATAGGACAGGCCAAGAGCAGACACCTCTGTCGTCAAAAGGGATGGTCAAATCTTACAGGTGTTAATCCTAAAATGTTGTATCATTACATGTCCCTTTTGGTGGGGCTTGAAAAAGACAAGTGTTTATTATTTATCTAATTTTCCTCTTTAACTCCAAAGACAGGCAGTTGATAGAAAGATTGATACAAAACTCAAAGCAGTCATCCAGACAATAAAAGTATAAAAATGACAAGAAGAATAAAAATAGGGAAAACTTTCCAGCCAAAACAAATGTTTTGGTTTCTGAACATGTAAATTCAACCGGCAGTCTTATGACTTAATTATACACTGGCCAAATATAGAGCTCCCTATTAAGACAGAATTAATGCAGCTAATGTCCATCTTGTTGCTACACAAGTGTGCTACCAGCCAATCGTGGAAAGTTCCCCTCCCCGGGTCACTGACTGCCTCTTTATGGTCTTCGGCACAAACTATCGGGATTTCCAAACAAGCGTTACAGGGGGCTTTAATATTATACGCTGTGTCACCGCAAAACCACCGATGTGTCTCGTAACGCGTTTTTCATGCCAAGCAGTTCGGGCGAGATCTGCCATGAAGCTCATTGGTGAGATCTTTATGACGTCTCCGTCTTGGTAAATCGGAAGCATTCGGCCATTTCCGTACCGAGCAAGGATAGCAGCCCAAACCCTAACCAATAATGTAATTTCTAGAAATCCATAAAGATTGGTTTATGAAAAAAATCTTTGTTATTTTAACATATGAATAATTTTTTCAAACTGGGAATGTTTTCTTCAACAAGGCCACTAAATTCAGCAATGTTAAGTAGAATTTAGTAAAAATTTAGTAAAAATGCAATTTAATGTACTTGAATTATTCTTTTTTGTGGGGGAAAGGGGTGCATTGTGGCATTTAAGAAATAAAACACATCTTAGCACATTGCATTACTTGAACGTACATCACAAAATCAATAAAAAAATTCCAGGCAGCCAGACTCCTAGCCATGTCTCCCCTTTGACATCATAGGTCGTGACGGCGTAGGCGGGAGATCTGGCCTAATGACAAGGTATATGTATTAATCCACGCGGTTCGTGACATTCTGCCACTTGGTAACAACTTGTAGTAGCCTATTCCTATCGTCTGCTATATCTTCTTCCTCCGAGTGAGTAACAGGGAAAACGAGCGCAGGGCAAGGAAGTCGTGCGCTAATAGCAGTTATTTCAGACAAATGCGGTTTTTCTAGTACTTCTCCAGATATGAACTGGTAAACGTGCTCGTTCAGATGATGAAAGTGAGATTTTAACAAAATAAATTTAGTTAATTCCAGGGTTAGATTTATAAATGAATAAAATGGAGAAAAAAGGGCGGTTCAAAATGTTTAAAAACGAGGCACCCCACACCCTATTGTATCCAGCGGTTTTCAGGAGTAACTTCTAGTGAATACGACAAAAAGAATAGTTTTAAGATAAACTTACATAATACTGTCCATTGACGTATCTGACATGTAAATTTTCAAGTATAACCCTTTCATCCAGAACTTCTAGTGTTGCCAGATCATCGCCTTTATTCTGGTCCTTGGTGCTGTCGCGGTTATGAGCGCCACCTTTAATCACTTTGGTTGGCGGCCCGGGGGCTGGCCCCTTGCCTGCAGACATGTCGAAAAGTTCGTACCCTTCAAACGGATCTGGATCTAACGAATCCGGGTTCGGTTCCTCAAATACCGAATCCTTGTCTGAAAGGCCGTCGTCGTTGCTCGCCTGCGCTGGAAATAAATAAACGTCGGAGTCGTCCTGGTAAGGGTCTGAGTCGGAATATGGCGACCCCGCAGCGCCGTACCCTGGGTTGTCCCCGGGGTAGGGATCTCGGAGTGAAGGGTCGGGAAGAGGTTCCGGGTAGTCCTCTTCTTCTTTCTGTGGAAGGCGGCGACAAGCTGGAATAGAGAATTTCACAGATTGCATCATCGTAATCTGTCGACATTGCTTGTTTTGTTTTTTTTTCTTTCATATTGAATTAATTATTTATGGCACCCATTGTGCGCGCGTGCAGGCACACACACAAACACACACACACACACACATGCTCTTGGTCAACTGTGTCACTTGTCACTTACCCATTTCTTTCTGCCACTAAACTAAAGACAAAAGCACATACGTAACAGATCTTTATAGAACCAGATTTTGTAATGTTGCTAGGGATGTCTAAATTTGCATCCTCGTAGATAAGAATGACAAGGGGTTATCCGACGTGCTAAAGATAAAGTTGATTAAAATGGCATTATTAATGATGACCCTTATATTATTATGCTGGGTTATGCACACCTGTACAAGTAGTTCTAGTACTATCTCCTTTCAACCCACACTTGTTCTACACATGATTTGTTGCCGACTACTCTTCGAAAGCTAAGTTACAACTTCGCGGGACTTCACTGAAATCCACAAAGATCTCGGCGAGTTCCTCATTACGAGTTATGACCATAGCGAGTTGCTTTTCATGACTTACGCAATTTTAAGTCGTTCAATCTGAATTAGGACCTAGGTGAAAACTATCCGCTGTTATTAGTTATTATTTGAACGTACAGTCGTTGTATTTTACTTTCTTAACCGTCACGCTTTTATAAATGACCTACCATCATGAAGATTCGCCAGACGCGTTTTCAAGGGTTTCTTAGATCTTCTCTTCCCAGTTTTGAGAATTCCTTTAGGAGTGACACCCACGATTTTCTTAGGTGGTTTCTTTCCTTTTCCACTCATTTTCTCCCCTTTTTTTAACCATTTACTAGCACATAATCCCTACTCTCCCCGCTCGGGGTGGCTGCAGTCCCCCACACTATGTTATGGTATGCTAGACACTTTTCATTCACGCCGTTATTCATTTTATTTTATCAAATTATTTCATCAAACTCAGCTAATCGTGACTTAATTATAATATCATCGACCGCAATTAAGCGGAGAAAATTGTCTTGTTGCTATGTCAACGGCCCGGGTAAAATTATCGCGAAGGCCTGCGTCAGGCGTTATCTGGAGATCGGTAGCACCTTGGACTTTTTGGGCCCTGCGTTCTTTGATAAGACGCGTCTATCGAGGCGGCCATCTTAACATCCGCTCAGTGACTGCATAGTTCGCAATAGAATATTCCACTGAACTTGATCCGACATCTTAATTTGATGCTGTTCACTGGCTTTTACGTGAACTATGCTAACCCCTTAGATTTTTTAAGAGAGAGAAAGAGAGAGAGAGAGGGGGGGGGAGGGGGGCGATGTTGTTGTGACTAATGGTCACATGAGTAAGGGTATAGCTGATGACTTTCACTTAATGTGGCAAATCAGAAGAAAATCATTGACATTTACTACTAATTACAGGTGCTTTAAACAAATGACAAAAATGCATCGTCCGTCGTCACGAAAGCCTAAACTTGGATGGATTCAAGTTCACGCCTGAACATGGCTTAAATAGGAAGGTCAAGTTTTCTTAACTAAAATACTTCTCTTTTCAAAACATTTTACATTAATCTTTTTATTTGGAAAGTAGTGTATGACACAGAGTGGAACAATGCTCTGTCATGTTCACCTTGAAGAAAGCCTTGAATAAGGTGAACTTTCTTTAGCTTGCCTATGTCGTCCTCCAGTACGGCGAAAGCCAAATGGGTAATGAACTTCAAGTTCCATTCTAGTATTAACTGTTAGTATTACGTCAAGCAATGTGTTTACTTTTTATATCAGCCTGTCTACAAACACAGCATTTTCTGTTCTTTATGAACACTGATCACCAACTAAAAGCAGTATCGGACCCAGATTACATATTCCTTGTTATCTAAGATCTCTGCCGGATTCTTTATTTGATTTACTGTAGAAATTTAAGATGTGACGCTGATTAAACTGTGTCTGGCACACGGGGGTTTAAATTAAAGATTTTATTTTTAGATCATCAAAGGTATATTGATGAGTCTGGAAAGCCCCTACATGTATTTCACAGAACTCTTAATCTACTTGTCGGCTAAAAGGTAAAGTTCCCCCATATTCACTATTTTTGAAAAAAAGAAGAAAAAAATTTACAATAACTTCGAATCGATTAGCTGATGTCGTTATTAGCCTTCACGTTACTTTCCTCACAAGGTGCATATGCTGAATGCCGTCCTATACAGACATCATGCCAGTATACAGTATACGTACTTAGTTCATAGTTCTAATTTTCACCTATTATCTATTTTTTACCTTTTACATTTTTCCATTACCATTTTCCTTCTATTCATCTTATGACCATTGTGAATTTTATAAATTTGTAAAGTCCATTGAACATACGTTGGATTTTAGACTATAAATAAATATTATTATTATTAAATGCACTACCCACTCTCAGGAGCCAGTTGGGTGAATTTTTTTTTTCAACTGAAAATCTTGTGCAACAATCTCTCTCTGGCCCTCTGTGTGGTAGAGGGTATATACTGTTTATTATGTCTCTGTGTGGTAGAGGGTATATACGGTTTATTATGTCTCTGTGTGGTAGAGGGTATATACGGTTTATTATGTCTCTGTGTGGTAGAGGGTATATACTGTTTATTGTGTCTCTGTGTGGTAGAGGGTATATACTGTTTATTGTGTCTCTGTGTGGTAGAGGGTATATACTGTTTATTATGTCTCTGTGTGGTAGAGGGTATATACTGTTTATTATGTCTCTGTGTGGTAGAGGGTATATACTGTTTATTATGTATCTGTGTGGTAGAGGGTATATACTGTTTATTATGTATCTGTGTGGTAGAGGGTATATACTGTTTATTATGTCTCTGTGTGGTAGAGGGTATATACTATTAGTACTGTCTCCAAAGATCGACTCACCCTCTGTCCTCCCGCCTCTGATAACACGATGTCATGACATCTTCCCTTAACCCAAAGTAGCAAATTACTCAAAATAATGATGTTTATCAAGTGATATAAGACCCCGAAACTATCTACGTGTATTTGCAAATAAAGATTCATGAACATTGCATTTTATCAATAAATGCCTGAATGGTTAATGACAGTTCTCAAAATATATCTTGTGTAGCGGAGAACCTCTCTCTTTTTCATGTATTAGGTGTGTTTGGAAAGAATATATATATATATCCAAGAGTGGAACGTGGTATATGCCAGGTTGTACCTTTAAAATGTTTATAATTACCAATTAATTAAACTTACGTTTTTTTTTTACAATTTTGCAAACAAAATTGCACCGTCATTCTTAAGCTCTATGTTCACTGCTTGGGTGCCCTTCTGCTATCAAGACCGCGTAATGCATGTGCATAAATATATGTTAAAAGAGCCTGGCTAAAATGAACTGAACAAGCTCAATTGTTCTTTTTCAATTTTAGATAAAGATGATGCATTGAATTTAAGCTATTGTCGCTGCATGACTCGCCCAATGAGGTTTTCCTGGCACCTTTACAAGGTATTAGCCTGGCCTGGACAGCCGCGGATCTAGACACTGACTAGAAAACGTTTCCTTAATGAAGGAACCGCAGTCAATCGTAATAAAGTCTCGTCTGCTACATGTCCTATAAAGGCACATTAGATGATATTACCTTAGCATCATTTTGCCATTTGGAGTATTCTGATTTGAAATTTTAAGTGGTAGGACATTGCGCGCTCAACGCTCCTCCCTATTAGGTGTATGTAAGGGCCCATTGACAACATTACCCAGGACCTTAATGTTGGTAATATCTGTGCTTTGACACCGCAACGGCTATATTTAAAAACGATATCATTCGAAACTTTTGAGTACGTATTTTAAAAGCTTATTAACCACTGAAATTCCTAACACTCTACAAGAGGTTCTCCTAGCTGTTACAAAATTGGTCGAAGGACGTCAGCCGGTTTTGTAACAATTAGAAAGATCCTTCAATGTGGAGCGTGGAAATTCCCCACCTTCCCAGAACCTTCCATGACATCCTGCTCCCGCACACGTAACCTTGAGCGTACAAACGGTAAAGACCAGAAAGGCGAAATGATTTCAACCATTTAAAATCGTACCCCTTCCTATTTCAGTGCCATTTTTTTCTCCGAAGGAAAATCACTCGTTCCTCTAAAGTGGAATTTGAACAATTTAAAACCAAAACCCACCTCTTTTGACGCGTAACACTTGCTTGTACAATACGTAGAAAATATATACAGTAACCAACGACTTTATGGGAAGGTGATGACACATAGAATGGACTAAGGGTTTACTTCTAATTTAATTGAGGAAATGCGTAGTGAGATCTGCGAAAATGTCAGAATGGTGGCTTAATAGTAATTATACAATATATGGACAAGTAATGGTGCACAGTCATTTGGGGGGGGGGGGGTGTATTTTTTCTTTCGGGACGAATGCCTTTTGTATTTGTTATTTGATTTGACAGGAAAATTTTAACCAGGGTAGTAAAGTGTACACTTAAACTGAGAAGAGTTTATATCATGGATCTGAAATTCAGTAAGACCACCGCTATGACAAAATGATTTTCGAACTGCACATTTCGAACGTTTTGACACATCATTTATACCATAATGCCTTTAAAGATTCAGTAAAAGTCATACTTTCAAGTTCATGTTTTTATATTAATCACGTATTTGACCTAAAAATGATCATTTTGTAAAATTTTGTAAAAATCCATTTTTAACGCTGCAATTGGAAAATTTTCAACCTTTTGGTCGTAAGGTTAATGAACTTATTATCACCATGATTATTGCTACGATAACAATCTCTCTCTTTACTGTATCTCTGCCTGTTTCTTCACTTTCTTTGTATGTACATACGCTATGGTTGAATGATAAATGTTTGATACACGAGTGCCATGAGCGCATTAGTGATGTGTATAAATAGTCCTATACATTAAAACACACGAATTTTATGTTAAACAGAATCAAGTAAAATTTCCCATTCATAGATAATATAATGGTTAGCGGGAGCATAGAACAACACGATGACGTAGTAATGCATTAAGTTGAGGTCTCAATTATGATTGAGTCATTAGGAGAACGTTGCCTTAAGTTAACTTAGCGTGGTACTATACAATTAAGTTAATGTCCTTGATGATGCAATGATTGGATACTCAAGCTGATTTTAAATTAGTCTAACTAAAGAAAGATGTGTTTGTCGTAATAAAAGTAGACAAAGATAGCGGTAAAAACGGCCTTATTACTCATCGTCGTGGTGTGTGTGTTTGGATATGGTGAGAACACGCGACATTTGTCATGACGCCACGGATCAAAACAATGCTTACGATGATACCCGTCACATCAGTATGCCGCTAGTGACGGCCGTAACAAAGCGGGACTTCAGCTCAGTGGCCATTTATAAAAAACTTTCTGGCACCGCAAGGCGACACAAGTCAGCATTGAAACCGTGTGTCCTCGCTCTTGAGGTGGCATGGCGCATTACCACCTGGCTTAATCACGACTGAAATACGACCCGTTAAGAGGTATCCTAGGGCTAAAGTGGTCAATTTGGCGTGATGGCCATTTCCCTGGTACATTACCCTCGTATTAACTATTTGGCATGAGTGAGATGTTCTAAAAATAGACACAGAGTAGTTCTCTATTTTTGCCAATGACTTTTTTCCCAAACAATTTGGATTTTTTTCTGGGTTTAACGATAATAGAAGTGCCCATTGATTCTAGAGTCGCGACACCTACTCATTAGTAATAGCTGAGTGCCATACGATCCACAAGATGCCTAGCATAATTTTGATGAAAAAAGAAACGGAATAAACTGATTTCCATGGAAGAATATCACTATGATCCATCTCGAAAATGACGTTGAATTAGTTGATAAATTCAAAAATAAATAAGGAAATAAAATAAAATAAACATCTCACAATGCA